GCTCCAAGGGCAACACCGTGAGGGGAAAGGACCATTGTCTCCCCCGCCCCCCGAAAAAGTTTAGAAGAATCAATTTACTATCCTCCGTGACTGTGGACTTGATTTATGGTTGGACTTGGTTAGTCCTTTGTTCTCTAACTTCTCTTAACTGGAGAGTCATCGAGCGTGAGTGATGATTTCTTTCTTTCCGCCTCCTATTAATGATGTGCTCTCCAAGTGTCCCGTCATCTCACTGGGCTTATAAATCAGAATGAGCGGACAGAGCCATCGTGGGCTATGAAGTTGGAAGACAGTTCCATCTGGTCTTAACTCCCTTGTGACTGCCACCTCACTTTACCACACTCTGAGCCACACCTATACCTGCTTTGAGTTTGTGTTTGCCAAAATTATTTGAATTTAAAAGAAATTGTATGTGACCAGGGTTTGTAAAATGAGAAAAGAATATATGCATGCAATGAAAGGACTTACTGTTTTGTAAAAAGGATTGGTTGAAGTGCATATTGATTTTTTTCAACAAAGCATTCGAGCTTTCTTAGACTATAACATAAACGAGTCGATTTCCCGTGACATACAAATGCTGGCCATTAACATGGTGCCCCAGAACTCTTGATCCTTCTTCATCCTCCTTCCACTCGCTGAAGTCATTCTTCAAGAACCAGACACGCTCAGTCTCCCCCACCCCACGCCCCCACCCCATCTTCTTTGTCAAATCCTAGTGGCCTCTTCCCACAGTTCTTTTCACAGTCCTGGCACCGTGTTGGGGTTTGAGCACTTGGGTTCTTTTCTCCATGTGTCACTAATTGTTTGACTCCAAAAGAGTGAGAGGTGAATTCTAGAAAGGGCCTCTTATAGTTCCGTAAAGCGCTAGGCACTTACTCGGACATGGAAACCTTCAACTCCCCTGGCTCAGCAGCCGTGTTTTTTATACGACCGAACTGGGGCTCAAAGGCTGGAATGATTCAGTTGGGGTTTTCTAGATAGTAGCAGAGAATGGGCAGGAACCCACATTTCTCTCCCATTTCAATGCTGCTTCTATTACTAAGTGTAGCTATTCTCTATCAGATATAAAGAAAATGACTGATTTATTTGTAAAAGTTAAAAGAAAGCTAAAGCAAGACCTTTCAAATAATTAGAATATTCAGTGTGTTCTGTTTGACTGATTGAAGCAATATTTTTAAGGAGGGACCTCAGAGAAACAAACTAACGGTTCTAATGGAAACAGCAACAACAGCATTGTTACTAGAACTTAACTCTGGGACATGCCTGTTCTCTGACACCTGCAGACGTGACTGCAGGAGAAGATACGAGAAGGTGTTGTCATGGGTTCACGTCCCTGGCAGGTCATTTCTAAGTGCACAGTCTCCAGGGTTTGGTTCCGAATGGACACTTGGCCCTTCCATTTTACAGGCCAGTATTGAAGGACATCCGCTCTGTCCCCAGCACCATGTGTAACCCAGTAACTGCCCAGGGATCTGGAGTCTATCCCTCCTGACAGCTACGTTCTAGTGGGAGGAAGAACACATATCACAACATCTTTCTGGTTGTCGCGTTGGTTTAGCATCCTGATATAACTGAATTGCATTTAAAATAAATAGAAATAAGAACTTGAAGAAGAAAAAAATAAATATTACGAAGGAGCATGCCACTGTCATTATCCCTTTTGAATATAAAACCAGATTTAAGTATTTATTATATGGATGGTTTATTAAAGGGACAGGATATGATATGAATTACTAAATCTTAGCTCAAATTTTAAGTTGAAGTTTTCTTTGCTTAAATTGAATTTTCCTATCAATCCAAACAATCACAAAAATAGCATTAAAATATAAAATTACATAATCAGCTGTTTTATAATAGTATGTTACAAACACTTCTGAGCTCAGAGTGTCCTGAACTTTGATCAAAAGTACATTGAAATGTACTAACCCTGTAGCTCTTCTATGAGGCATAATTTAAAAGAAAACGTTCTAGGGGAAAAAAATATTACTAATGAGTAACAACCAGAGGTTTAAAAAAGGGATGTGTTGAAATGGGACACTCATACCAAGGCCAAGTTTTTCATCAGAAAACCTTTGAATATGCTAGAATGAGCCATAGTCTCTGTAATTAGACCATCTTTTCTAGCAAGAGAAATAAGTAATGGTATGCATCCATCAGACTAATGGCAACTTGATTTTTCCAAAGTCCCCTTAAGGAATCTCTCCAATGGACTTGGAGAGGTAATGTAGCTAGGTTATACCCGGTACATTAAGCACTTGGGTTTGTGTGTTGCTTTCTGATAATTTGGCAGGGCACACAGCTAAATTAACAAAAAGCTGAAATATGAATGGAAATATTAACCTTGTCTGATTATGAATGGAGTTGAAATTTATCATGTGTGCCATAACATTGGGCTTTGCTTTCAGAGGATAGCATTTTATAAGGGAAGACAGACACTTTTAAAGGTGTCTTGATTCATCATATTTGAGTACAGACTTTGATTTGAGGCTCACCCCATTGTCTAATGCTGTGTCACCCAGATGACACGTGCAACCCTTGAAGGATGGCGCCTGTTCATGGGCTCTAATCAGAGGTCTTGATAGTGAGGAGCTTTGGGTCCTTTTATATGGCCGGTTGGCTGTTACCAAAGTCTTTATTCTAGTCTAAATTCACATGGATTTGCTAACACTTTTAGAAAAGAAAGTCTTAGCTCATTTTAGTTTACTCAACATGTATTTTTCAACCTACTTTTAAAAAGCCGGTCATCCATTTACATTTTGCTCTAAAATATCATCACTTACATTTGGTCATTCAATGAAGCTACAGCCAGGGAAGAAAATTTAGATTTGGTTCTTCTTTTTTATTCATGGAATCTGTCTTTCCAAAAAGCCCGGCTCTGTGTGCTTTGGGGTTTACCATATTCTTATCACAGAGCACAGGAGGGGATGCAAAGAGGCTTAGAAATGCCTTGGTTAACTTACCCCAAGCACACCCTAAGTCAAGGCTCTGGGTATAGTCACTTAGTTGGGAAGTGGTACCAGGTAGGAGCTTGAGGGAGGGAGGTTGGCTGTTGAGAGGGGCCGCTGGTGGCAACAGGGACCCAGCCCTCCTGGAGACCCTCCAAGGAAACGTGTGCAACATGCGTCCATCTGCCCATGAGTGGTGTGGGTTCAGAAGCTGGGGCATTTCTCTGTCAGTTACTTGCTTGTTGGTTGAGACCCAGGTAGCTGTGGACTTATAAAGGAATAAACTGCAGGAGATCTCCAAAGAAGGCAGAGGGAATACGGGTAGGACACTGACAGCACTGGCGAGGGAAAGCATGACTGGGAACAAATGTAGCCATTGGGAGAGCAGACTGGTGGCTGCTTTAAGTGCAACTGGCGACGCTTTGTATCCAAGTGCACACACAGGTTGTCGTCATAAGGTGATGGTGCAGAACTATGTCAACTGGGCATGGGGGCCTGCTACATTTTGTTTTTTTCTTAGCCCTGGACTCACCCCCAGCCCATCAGAAAGGGTACAAGATTGTTTTACTTTTTTTTGTTTAATCGAATTAAGCCAGCCACCAGACATCTCTGTAGACACACAGGTTCCACTGAGATTTCTAAATAGATAGCTTATGTCCAAATTCATAATCTGTTATATTCTACATGCTAACATTTCTTATCACTGTTTCAGAAGTTAACACATTTATATTCAGTGTCTACATCCTTTGATTATGACAGGGATTTGATGGCATCTCAAAGCCACACACACCGGTCTCTCAACTGGGGCAGCTCTGTTCATACCTGAGGGTGTCACGAGGCAGGTCCCCTGACTGTGGTTGATGGCAATTTCACTCTTTCCTTGCTAGCTATCTCCCCTCTGTTTACAAAGATTTTGAACATCATTCCTTATACAGTTGGCTAGTAGCTGTCCTTTCATGATTTATTTTCCATTTGTCCCACCTATTTTTCTTTGACTCTTCTTAAATGATTTGTTTTGGAGTAATGGAGGACCCCTCCCCCATTTTCACGGTTAGCTGGTTAATCATACATTCTTTCACTCTTTGTGTCGCTAATGTGGACTTTGCATCCATTCTGGACTTACTGCATCTAATATAAATAAAGACACAAAGGAGGACTCCCAGAGCTGCTTCAGAAAGTGGCAAGAATGATGGGATAAGTGTGTTCAGAGCAAGGAGAGCATTTTAAACGGGATTAATGGCAATGTGTCTTTTACTGTAATACTTTTTTCTTATGTAAACAGTCACCATATTGTTTGATCCCGCCTCATATAAACTTTCAAAGGTTACCCTTCTGTAACGTTTTTCTTTAAAAAAACATTGCCTGTTTTCCTCAAAGAGAATGGAAAAGTACCACTCTAACTAAAATAAGTACATATTAAAATCTGTGTAATATTGCATGCTGTGGTGTACTGAATTTACAGAATTTGAAGACCAAACACACAAGAAAAGCTCTTATCACTTCTTTGCGTTCCACCTGTAGATTTCACAGATGACATTTTATAGAAGGTAATATCCCTGACTGTCTTTATAATAGTTCAGAATCTCTAAAGGGGATTGAAGGTTCATCACAGAGGAAATGAAATATTTGAAAATGTTTGTCTTCTCTAGGAAACGCGGAATATTAGCTGACTTTCTTGTACTTTATCTCTCATAGGGACAAACAGGTAGAAATGACTGTTTCCTGTCTGAGACTGGCCGCTGGTTCCTGGCATTTACTGTGATTTCTGCGTTGCCTCTTTAACATCAAAATAGAAAAATAATATCCTTGTGGAAATAACTTCACCTTTTCTCCTCTTTTCTCCACACTGAAGGACACGTGCTTAGAGCTCAATAAATAACACACTCTGAGCTTAGATTTGATTTTTTTTCAATATGTACTCCTCAGCACTTGTATTTTAGCCTGTTGAAAATAGTCCTCAAATCAGCCCCAGGACAAACCGGAGACGATGATGCAGATACTACTTGGCTGTTCCCTCGCGTTTGACGTGTCGGTCTTCCCTCACACCCGCCCCAGGAGCGGCTGCTGCTGTCCCTGCTGCCGGCTCACATCGCCATGGAGATGAAGGCAGAGATCATCCAGAGGTTGCAGGGCCCCAAGGCCGGCCAGATGGAGAACACCAACAACTTCCACAACCTGTACGTGAAGCGGCACACCAACGTCAGGTGCGCTGCTCTGCCCTGCGTCCTCGGCAAGCCCGGGGAGCCCGCGCCCTGCCCTGGGGGCGGCTTGACCCGGGAGCCCACAGCTAGCAATGCCATGTCTCCTTTGTAACTGTTAACCCTTCGCACATGGAGGACATACCACTCCCCCCACCTGTGTGCTGTCTCTTGGTGCCTTTACTTTAAGATAAGAAAATAGGGTCCCCCACTTTATTGGACTGAGCCCTCCTAGCCCTGCTCTCCGTGGCTGACCATCAGTCACAAAAAGGACAGAGGTTAACAGTGGGTTCTTTATTCTGGGAACTCCATGGTGTCCCTGGAGCTTAGGACACTCAGCGTTGCAGTAGGATTGTGGGGCGGGTCAGTGAGCTCTCAGCACAAGGACACAGGACAATTCCTCAAGATGGGCTTAGCATGCAGGTCTGGAGAAGCTGGCACTTTCCAGGGCACCTTCCGGTGAGGGTGGGCACCGTGGGAGGTGGGCCCCCCGGCCATCTTGGAAGCTGACCCCCAAGGCAGCTAAGGCAGAGCGTTGCTTAGGCAGCTTCAACGGCTGTAATTTCCCTCAGATTGTCTAGAATATGTTGGCATACTGAGTTAAATCTAAATTCACACAGTATATTTGGAATCCTAAAGTAACTTAAGTACTTAAAACTCAGAAATGTAAAACCTTCGATGGCTTGGAGTGCCAATTATTTTTAAAAGAAATATGAAACCACGTGGCTCTTTCAGCCTGGAGCAGGGGGGTGTGAGTGCAGAAGCAGGCACGAGGCGTGGGGGACACAGGTGGGCTAGTCAACAGCTGAGGGGCTGGGGCCTTTCAGTGAAAAGCATTAGGTTTGCAGATGGCACCAACAAGATTAGTTGCTAATTTTAGTGCTGCTTTGTCCGTTCATTCAACAAAATGTGTATTCTCTACTAATAAAACCTACTACTTCTTTGCTATCTAATGACGGTGATGACCATAGTAACGATAATAATACATGATAGTGATGATAACGAGGAGGGGAGGGCAGGGAGAAAATGAAGGATTTACAGGCCAGTTGCCCCTGAAGCATCACGGCCTCCTTCTGAGTCCCAGCCACTAGCGCGGAAACACACACATGCATCACATCTTTCAAAATAAGCAGACATTCCTCTTAAGCCAGGGCCACCGTCCAGCTGTGGAACCCCCTGCCCCCCTCATGGAGCCCAGGTTCTAGAGCGATGGTCCCACATCCTCCAGCTCAGTGTCCTTGTCCTGTCTCCTCAGATCACCCCTCTCTGGCTTGAACCTCCTGCGCGTCGCAGACTCTCTCTTGCTAAATTCGCCACCAGCTCTCTTGCTCCCAAGTCTGTGACTGACTGACTTCCACACCCTCATCTCGTGACCGCTCAGGCAGGCTGGGCCCATTAACCCTGCCCGTGTCCTTACAGGACTCTCCCACCCCTCCGTCTCCTGACTCCGTACCCCCTTTCTTTTCTCCCTGCAGTCTCCTTGGTGGTTTTCTCTCCCCTAAATCGAGACTTGCCTGTAAATTAGTGTTTTCAGGGCTCTCGCCTCACTCTCTTCTGTTCGCTCCCAGGATTTAATTACCATCCACACAGGTCTGAGACACAGAGCTCAACAATAGGTTTCCAGACTCACCTACTCTTCCTCCTGGGTGTCCCACAGACACCGCCGTTGACCTCAGCACCACCAGACCTGACCTCATCATCCTCCCTGCCAAGCCTGTTCCGATTTGCCCCTCCAGCGTGTACATCCCGTGAGAGAAGCTGCACTGCCATTTTCTAAGAGTGACTTTCCTGGGTGCCTCACCATCTAACCATCACACACACACGCACACTCACACACACACACTCACACACACACACACACTCACACTCACTCACACACACACACACACACACTCACACACACACACTGTCCTTTTTTGTTGCTCTGCTGTTTTCCTTTATAGCACTTATAATCATTGCTATTGGACATTTTCTGGTTTCCTTATTTGTTTGCTCCATCACCCCAACCTGACTCTGAGCTTCAGGGGGAGGTACCGTGTCTGCCTTATCCTTGCTGGTACTAAGTAACCCACAGTGTTTTGGGAACTCGTCTTTCTTTTAGGAAGATTATTAGTCCAGTTTTTCTTTGAATCAGTAAAAACAGGATTGGGCTTTTGTTATTTTGCTTCTTCTACTTTAGGAATTTTGATACTATAAACTCATGCTGCAGTTTAAGTAGACACATGCGAATTTGATACCACAATTATGACAGTGTAATGCACTGTCGGTTTGAATACCACATCAACCAGAGAGGACAGGCGTGTCCAGCCCTGAGAGAGAAAGGTGATCGGTCAGAATGGAACTTTTAGCAAATGGTTATGTATTCCCTGTCCAGGAAAACGACGTTTTCATCATGAAAATATAAATATAAAATGTAAAGCAATATATACTGTTTTAATGGGGAAAACTACCATTACTTTCTTAATGGACATAAAGTTACAAGTGCCACCCCCTCTGTTCCTCCTCACAGTATCCTCTATGCTGACATTGTCGGGTTCACCCGGCTGGCCAGCGACTGCTCCCCAGGAGAGCTGGTCCATATGCTGAATGAACTCTTTGGAAAGTTCGATCAAATTGCCAAGGTGAGTATTAGTGATTCTTTCATTTTGAAGTTGTATAAAATGTTGGCTTACTTGTTCTCTGGCCCCTTATCAACTTTTTACTTTTTCATCAAAAGCGCCCTTGAGAAATGGTGTTCGTAAATTTGTTGGATTGGTTTGCCATTGAGCCCCGATGAGTCTCAAACCTAAATCAGGGATGAGAAATGCCATCATCGCATATAAGTAGCACATTTTCATCTAGTTTTAAAACTCCTGCTTCTATGTAATTCAGCACACATATAGGAAGCACACTTAAGATGGGGACTTTAATTTGCACCTTCTCTGCTGTTCTGAGGTCCTCTGCTTAGGCATTCCGATGTCAAGAAGGTGGAAACATGGTTTCTTCTCATCCAATTGTAACTATCACGTATTCATAGTGTTAACCAGCGCCTTGGCAGCTCCCCTAGATAGGATGCATACCTTCTCCTTATGCCCTTTACTTATTATTGTCTCATTTTTGGCCATTGACTCTGTACCACGTGAGCAGAAATTATGCTCAGTAGTTGCCATTCATATGCTCATTTATGGTTAGTTTCACAGAGAGGAAGTGATGACAAGTGATCTAAAACCATACTAGACCTTACTTATTTATTGGAACTGTTAGAGTTCCTGGTGGGAATTTGGGGGAATAAATGTTTTTTCTTCTTTGTTAGCCTTTACTTCTCTTAAAATAGCTTAATTCTTTCATTGGTTTGTTGCTTCCAGCAACAACAATAAAAATACTTATGATGATGCTTATTAAAATGTGTCATTAATCTATGGAAGAGTGGGTCCCAAGTTTACTTCACTGCAACATTCATCTCACTTTTCACCAATACACACGTTCTGGCCAAGCCTCTGGGGAATGAATCCGGCTTGCGGGTGCTCTCAGAGGCACTCTCTGGTCAAGTTCTGACCACGACAGCTCCCACTGGGGATTCTAAAAATCAGCAAGAGTACAGGTCTTTCTTCCTTTACCAAACCAGAGGAAGAGGTTGAGTTCTCTGGGAGCTCACTTTTAGAAAAAGAAGTGTTGAAATATAATGGCCTGACAATTTGAATTAAAACCAAGTTATTTTTGTGGAACTGCCTGGTCGCATTGAGAAGAAGCGTCCCTCTCTGAGCAGGTGGCAGCATGGCTGCTGTGTTCATGTAGGGCTCTCCCTGAGTGATGCCTCGGTGTCCAATATGCCCTTTTTACAAGGACCCCAGTCATATTGGATTAGGGCCCGCCTACTCCTGCAGGACCACACCCTAACTAATTCCATGTGTGGCAATCTGACGCCACATGAGGTCACATTCACAGGTACCAGGGGTCAGGACTTCACCATGAACTTGGGGGGGCGGGGAGGGGGCACGATTCATTGCCCTTGACGGAAGTACTCACTAGGACTTCCTGTTCCTCTCTGATGATTGTAACAAGGCAATGTCCAGTCAACATCAGAGTCCAGCCCAGGGTTTAGGCTGCAGAGGAAGCAGGCTTTGGGCATCAGTTCATGCCTCATAGTTAGATAACAAGGACTTGGAGAGCATTGCAAGCACACAGACAGCTCAGTCCACTGACCGAATGCTGTGGAAAGCACACAGCTTTAAGCTGAGGAACATGAAATCATTGTCCACTCATTATTATTATTATTTTTAATTTAAACACTTTATTGAGGTATAATTGACATACACAAAGCTGTACATATTTAATATATACAACTTAATGAGTTTGGAAGTAAGTATGCACCTTTGAAACTATCACCACAATCTATACAGGAAACATACAAAAGTTTCCTCTTGCCTCCTTTATTTGTTATTACTTTGTGATTAAAACACAACAGAAGATCTTCCTTCTTAGTAAAATTTTGAGTATTCAATGCAGGATTGTAAGCTGTAGCCACTGTGCTGTACAGATCTCTAGGATTTATTTATCTATCCTGCATAACTGAACTCTTATCCCCTTTGACCAACACCTCCCAGTTGATATTCCATAAATTGAAATCCTCAGGTAAGTGCCTAATGCACCTGAAACTGTGATTTCTTCTTCCAGGAGAATGAATGCATGAGAATAAAAATTTTAGGAGACTGCTACTACTGTGTGTCTGGACTCCCCATCTCTCTCCCTAACCATGCCAAGAATTGTGTGAAAATGGGACTGGATATGTGTGAGGCTATAAAGTAAGTGTAACGCTTGGTAAGATCTTTAACTGTTGATAATTTGCAGTCATAATTCTCACTTGCAGCTATTTCTATTTTTCTGTCTACTGGGATTAAATCCGTTATTGTGCATTTACATATAAATATGCAGAGAGCCATTTATTGGCATATGAGTAACTCCATCCAAATTAAGGCTCCTGTGTTTTGTATTATTATTATTTAGTATTAGCCTCTGCTTCTTTTGCAAAATTGAGTTAGAAAGCTATGGAAAAGGACAGTTTTGTTTTTTCCAAAAGTGATTTTTAAAAACTTAAATGTCTCCTCTGATCTCAAGGAAAAAGTCTGCACTCTTACCATGTTTTGTGATTTCTGACAAATAATATGGCTACACACAAATGGTAAAAAAGAAGGTAATTTTTAGCACCAGGCAGCAATAATATAAAAACCCAGGCCAAAATTACTTCATCTCATCAAAAATGCTCATCTCTAGGGAGTTAGTTTCAGTTTATATCCATAGTAGGAGTCTTCCGTATGGGATCTGTAGGCTCTTTCATTGAAATTCTGAGAAGATTTGCTTATGTAGAATAATGTCATCATTACAGTTGACAAAGATAGGGCAAAAGCATCAGGCACAGAGTTAATGTTCATTACCGGCACCATGATGAGTGTTTCTTTAGTAGCGAATGCCCTTTGCAGAAGCTAGAATATTCTTATCAGTGATTGTGTCTCTGCTTTGTTGATTATATGATTGAGAGATATTAGTTTATGAGGTGTTTCGATTGCCCATTTTGGTCTGGTGGTTTTACCCATCCCCACATATTGTTGGTCTAAACAGGGTTGGAAGTAGGCAGTGGACGTTCTATTTGCTTGTCTCAGGGTTAGAGTAAGTGGGCCTCAAAGCACCAGGTCAGACTGTCCCTGTGTTTTACCCATTGTGGATGTTTGTCATGTGGTAAAACGGACTAAAAGGTGGTGTCCAGGGAAGAATAATGAACCCCCACAGTCTCAAATGTGTCCAGGAGACCTACGTGTTCCAGAAACACTAGCTGAGTAGCAATTGCCACAGGCCACTGGGCAGACCAGGGAATGGGGGAGCAAATGAATAAAGTGAAATCAAAGAAAGTTTCCAGATGGGGGGGTAGTTAGTGTGGCCCCAGCTCCCACACGGAACACAGTGTGTGGGAAATAGCTGCGTTCTACTTGCTGCTGCTTCTCATAAACAAGTCATTTGTCTTCTCCGATACATGAAAAATACATTTTACTTATTTCAAAAGTAATTAACTATTCCCAAAACTAGATGTAAGTGAATGTCATCAGTGGAACTAATAGGTTTTCTTAAATTTATAACCTGCCCCTGGAGGCAAGCTCGGTGTTGGTTTCAAACAAGGGGTGAAATGAATTCTATTAAGGGAAGGCATTTCTCTTGATTTCCTTTTCAAATGAATGTGGGAACGACTTTAGGACACATTTCCTTATCATGTGCATCGATAACATTGGATTAAACAATCCACCCTTTTACTGAGGCTTGATTTCTGCTTTTGAATCAACTGTTTTCTAGTTCAGTTATGTTTACCTTATTACAACGTGTTGAAGAGCTTTTAGGAGAAGCACCCATTCCATCTACTGGCATGATACCACTTCGTCAGTAATGTCTTTTTCCTGTACATTTTTATTGTGGTAAAATATACATAACATAAATATTGCCCTTTTAACCCTTTCTCCCTGCACAATTCAGTGGTGTTAAGTCCATTCAAAATGTCATGCAACCATCACCACTGTCTACATCCAAACCTTGTCACCGTCCCCAACAGAAACTCCACTAAGCAATAACCCCCCATGCCCTCCCCCTAACCCCTGGTAACTTGCATTCTACTTTCTGTCTCTGTGACTTTGCCCATCCTAGTTATCTCATATAAGTGGAATCATACAATATTTGTCTTTTATGGTTTCAACGTTCATGCACTCTGTGGCATGTGTCAGTAATTCATCCCTTTTTGTGGTGGGGTAGTATTCCCTTGTATGGACATAGAACATTTGATTTATCTATTCGTCATAGATGCTTAAGTAGTATGTGTCCAGAGTCTCCGTAATTTAAGCAGACTTGAGGAAACTTTCCAGAACTCTTGCTTATAACTAAATTTAAGCTTCAAATATTAATGTCCATGTGTCCCCGTGATCTGCCACTCATTGACGAGGGCTTCCGTATCGTCCTCTACTATATAGCATCTGTTGGGCTCATCTACAGTTGACGAAGTGACCAACAATAGGTTATTTTATTACGCCCCTAATAAAGGGTAGGGAATCTCAGCAAATTTCAGGAATTCTAAGGCAAGCATTTCCATTCCCATTTATTAAACCGTAAGATGAGGATGAATACAGGAATTTTAATTTTTTTAAGATGGTGAGGAGAAGGCACACACTTAGCGCTTGGAATTTTGCCAGACTATCTCAGGTTTTTCATAGGGATCAGCAACATGGGTCCAGGAACGTTTGCCTGTGTTTTTCCCTCCGTGTTTGGACCCCACATGTGTTCAGAGACCCGTTCCTTGTTAGCTATGGCACCACTACAGAGGCAAGTTGGCTGCTGTTTTGGAAGGTTCCCAGGGCTTAGAGAATTTTTTTTTTCCCTGTCGTGAAAATGTAAACTGTTCTTAATCCAGGAAGTAATATTCAGGCCCTTGACTTTATAAGTGATTAAGAGTCCTCTTAAGCTAGAAAGTTCGTCTATTATTGTTGTAAGCTTTAAGCAATTACTTCCACATTTTTCTATAGGTCACACAGGTTGCACCTACATGCATTAAAACATTTGGTCAGTCGACTCATCTGAACCCGTGATCATCTCATTTTTCTACAAAGGACATGGAGATTGTTTTAAAGAGTCAAATCATCAGCCAGTCAATTCTGTCAAAGTGGCTGCTGTAGAGTGCCTCATCCCCGCTTTCATCCCCCTCTTGGCTTTCTGCTGACTGAATTTTGGTACAGAAGTGCCACGTGGCTGGAACTGTTTTCTCTCAACAACATGAAACCTTAAGAACAGTTATGGGTTTTACAACACATTATTCAGGATATTCATCCCCCACAGACAGAAGCTAAGTAAACCCTTCAGAAATGACCCAAGTCAAGTGATAAACGTGTATCGAGTGTTTGCATTGTCACAGGCCCCGAACCCACTGGTGGGTGTCCGGACCATGTGGCCAAGATCTGTGTCTGAATGGGGCCGACACTCTGAGAGCAGGTGTGGACCCAGATGGCAGTGCCCACTGCACAGGGTGGTTGGAGCGCCTAGGAGGGGTGCCTGCATAGACCTGGAAGGAGAGACAAGCAAGCCTTCCTGGGTGAGATCAGGCCTGAGCCACGGATGGAACGGCAATGCCAGCTGTGCGCGTGACGCCCATGCCCCATCAGCTCAGGGAGGCTCAGGGGAGTGGGTTGCAGAGAGAGGAACCGTGTGAGCAGAGGCTTGGCAGTGAGGATCACACGGGGCCTGGGCAGCCATGGCGCTCACTGCCCGTGGAGGGCAGAGCAGTGGGGCAGGTCTCCTGTGTCATGTGGATGGTCTGGCTCATCCTGTGGGCAGGAATGAAGGGTTTGGGTGACCTGCATGGTGCCAAATAGGTTGTGGAAAAAATATAAAAGGAAGGTAGATAAAGGGGGAGGGGGAGGGGAGGGGAGGGGAAGGACACATCTTCATTCTTTTTTACCGGAAGCCATTTATTTTAACATTGTGGGTCTGTTTCTTTGTATCATTTAAGCATGGCAGCCATGCCTGTATCATTTTGAGCAGTTTAGGGTTCATTTGACTGTAGCCCACAGCTGGCAACCCTTCCTCCTTGCCGTGATGCAGCCAGCGTCACTTTGCCTTCACACAGCCTCTGGGGGTGATTCTGCAGGGAACCGAGGACACCTTCCTGTATACTACTTCTTCTGCAGTACTGCTTTAATTGGTAAATGTACTTAGCCAGCAGAAATAAATAAGCATGACCAAGCACTGCCATTTTCCCTTAAAGAAAGTTCTTCATTTGTCTCAGTTAATGAGCTGGTGACAGGCTCCTAACATATTTTTTAAATGATTTTTTTAATTAGTTTCTTTTTAATGACACTTTATGCATTACTAAAGCTTTTTAAAGAGTATTTGTTTCTCTTTTCATTAAAGAATGTGCACAATTGAAAAGCTTTAATCTCATGGTTATGTTTGTTAATTCCTATTCAGGATAAGTCATTATAAGCTCACGGGTTAGCCGTATTGTCTCATCAGCAGAAAATATTCATGGGGGAAATACATTGTGCTAGGCACTCGAGTTGCAAATGGCATCTGAGACCCTTTCTGACAGTACAAGGCAATGTCCTGTGATTCTAGTATGAAAATTCAGAGCAGGTGTCATCACGTGACAGGTGCTTGATACACATCGGTTCAAACACGAAAAGCTACAGACAAAACTCTGCCCCATCACGACAGCCTGGCCGGATGTGGCTTTACTAGCCAGAGCATTGACGCTTAGGTCTAGTCTGGGAGTAACCGGAGAGAAAAACCCTCGCTCCCAACTCAGTTCAGTAACGGCTGCAGGAGGTTCCTGATGATGTTTCCAACAGCCTGAGAAATTCCGAATGGTAAAATGCCCTGAAAACTGGCCAAGAGTTTAAGGGACAAGAGGCTGTTCCTGGATAGTGATGTCACTTTCCTTGTCTTTAGGAAAGTGAGGGATGCGACAGGCGTCGACATCAACATGCGCGTGGGAGTGCATTCTGGGAATGTCCTGTGTGGCGTGATTGGTCTGCAGAAGTGGCAGTATGATGTCTGGTCACATGATGTCACCTTGGCCAATCACATGGAAGCTGGAGGGGTTCCCGGGTAAGGACGCTGGATTTCTCTAAGTTGGCTACACGGTTAGAAAGGACAGGTCAGCAGCTTAATAACTGACTGCTCAGTGTTGGATGTTTTCATGGCTGCTGTTAGTAGCATGTTACTCATGCCCTACGCCTCTTACATTAATGAGATAAACATGGCCTGTCAAGTCCCAATTCCACCTCATGACCCATGGTCAAAGACGAGGGATATCAGACCTTAAATTACAGACTTGACTTCTTTGCAAATTTATGCTTGTAGACATTAGTGGAGGCGTTTACACTGCAGTGTAGATAAGGCATTTTCTATTATGGGTGACCTCTGAAACCAGTATTAAAACCAGCAAGCTGTGGCATCCATCTCTGGTTAGAAGAGCATATTTCAGACAAGAGAATTTGAGGGCAAGTGATAGAAATTGGCGAAACATGAGTGCAAGCACTGAGAAATAAAACCCATACTTTTATACTTTTTGAAGACCAGCACACTTCCTAAAATGCCCCTGGCATGTGTTTCAAAAAATATCCTCACACACAAAACTTTGATCTGATCAAGCTTTATCTGCTGCTGTTCACCACACCCACGATGCAGGTTTCTGGGGGGTACAGAGAAGCTCCAAACAGGAGTAGGCCATGAACCTCTAGAAGCATCTTTTGAAAGCACAGGTTGGTAGAAAAGAAACCTTAATCACAGTCCATTTCACCAAGAACATGCAGGCCTTTCCTTCATTGGGGGAAAAGAAATTATTTCTGAAATTACACATCAACAGAAAATCTACCTTCATAGCTATGTTTATATATCTTGATTGTGGTTTTAAAATGGAATTTCAGACGTGTTCACATTTCTTCTGTCACCCTGGAGCACTTGAATGGAGCTTATAAAGTAGAGGAAGGAGACGGTGACATCAGGGACCCGTATTTAAAGCAGCACCTGGTGAAAACCTACTTTGTAATCAACCCCAAGGTCAGTATTCTAGACTCCGTAATTAGCCTATGACTTCTGTGATTAAAAGGCAGAGGGGCAAATTACTGTATAGATAAGTGTTTTTAGTTAACTCTCAGTATAATTCTTTGCTAGTCTTTACCTCTAAAATTACTTTAAATGCATATGGCATTTTAATTACAAAACATGTTTTATAATGAATAATTGCTCTGTATGACAAGGTTTATATGCTGCTTAATGTATACGTTAGTTCGGGTTGCCTCTGGGCTCAGCCTGCCAGTTGGGAAAATAAGTAAAGAGGAAATCTTTTGCTTAGGCCTTCAGATGATAAATATCTAATGTGGTGAAATAGGCTGAACAAATAAGAAAAGGGAAAATAAGGGATTTCTAAAAGATTAACAACTAAATATCACATGTACCTCTGGGTGAGGACTTGTCTGTGCAGATGTGTCTAACTACCATGCAATAAAACCTCCGTTGCCTGGGAGACCGCCCCACCCATCCGGACGGTGAGGGCTGGCGCCTCTGTTCACCTGTCGGCCAGAGCGATGGCCTCAGAGCTCTCATCTCTTTTAGCCTTTCTCAAATTCCTGCCAAATGAGTATTATTGCTAATTACAGATTAAGAATCCAAAGTTCTGAGGGGTTATGTAACTTCCCCCAAAATCACACAGCTGGTACCTGGTGCAAATATGACAAAAAACACCCCAGAACTGTCGAAAGCAGTATCACAAAAGCAACAGGGTCAAGTGTGTGAACGTGTACTCATGGCAGCCTCCCTGAAACCCCACGTTCACCTTTGGAGACAGACTCCCAGCTCACCTGACAATTGGTCTGGACAGATGTGTGACAAGCGGGGAGTACTGTAGGGTGACATAGGTGGGAGGCGGTGCCCTGGGGAAAAGGAGAAATAAAAAAAGAGTACAAAGAGCATTGTGTTCAGGCAAAGAGCACCAAAACATGGACAGGAAAGGCCATTTAGCATGAGAAAACAGCTCCCATCACTACGCATGTCACGTTAGGGAAACAGGACTGTTAAGCAAAAGCTGAGACAGATCAACGTATGTTTCAAAATTTCCTTGATAAAACTTCTCATTAAAATGGCTATTTTTTCCTAAGCTTAAATGACAGGTAACTTTTACTACCTGGGAAAAACTCACTCAGCTTGTGACACAATCCCAGCAGCACTGAAGGAGAGAGGGCAGAGGGCAGAGGGCAGGGAGAGTGAAGGGGGTGGCGTTGGAGGAGCCCTCTGGAAGGACTGCGGCAGGAAGGTGGTGCGCACCTTTGGCACCCAGGTGTAATGCTGTGTTTCTCACCACAGGGGGAGCGCCGGAGCCCCCAGCACCTGTTCAGACCGCGCCACACCCTCGATGGAGCCAAGATGAGGGCCTCTGTGCGCATGACCCGGTACCTGGAGTCCTGGGGGGCAGCCAAGCCCTTCGCACACCTGCACCACAGAGACAGCATGACCACGGAGAACGGCAAGATCAGTACCACGGTACAGCCGCCCCCTAGTCCCCCCATTCCCCACCCTCCCCTCCCTGTCCCCTCCCTCTCTACCCTGTGCCCCCCTCCCCCCGCAAAGCACCTTAATCCTGGATAAAGCAGGTTCCCCAAACCAATAGGCATCGCCTGCCAAAAACACCTTCTCTGTGGGATGAAGCATTCTTACCAGCGCTGCTTCTCCTTGGAGAGGCGCCTTACAAACAGCTCGCAGGACATAAGTGATCGACAACCCCGCATTGCTAAGGGTTTGAACCTAGAGTGACTTTGCATTGTAACTTTGTAACCCAAGACTGTTACAGCTGACAGTAGCCACGGAATACAACAACTTTTTTTGAATGGAGGTTTGTTTCTGGTGGTGTGGTTTTGCTATTATGATGTCGAAAGCCTGAGCATCTTAATAAAACAACCAAAGAAGCCTTGCTGCCTGGGAGCTGGGGTCACAGCATTGCTAGCACCGTCTCCGCAGCCCCCATGGTCAGGTGGCGTGGGCAGCACTGTCCTTGTATTGTTGCAGTTTCTCATTTGCATCACTCCAGCCTCTCACAGAGAATCAAGTCCCAAAGCTGCTTACTGCAGGGACATTTCCAATAAGATGGCTGAATGCAGATAGCAAGTAGAAAGGCCCATAGGAGGAGAGAAAAGTAAATATAATTACACACTTAGAATAATCCCCATGGTATTGTTAGGTTTTAAAACAATCTCTGAGTAAAGCTTCATATAGAACGGCATTAACTGTACTAGGGATGGAATGGAGGTAAAAAAGAAAATGGACTGTTCATAATTCTCATTCGCTGAGGCGAAGAAACACCCCCGTTGGCCAGGTAACAGCGAACATCGCCAGCCTGCCTGCACCCCACACCCCCCAGCATGTGGCTGCGACAAGCCCAAGCCCAACAGGTGGCGCCCAGCACTCTCGTTTGACTTAGTTATATCTCTCCTCTCAACTTCGCTTGTTCTTTTTAACTAAAAAATAAACGTGACTTGATAGAAGACCGTGACCCATCTGTCAGCGAGGGAGACCACCAGGACACGTCCTAGAGCAGTGTGCATTGTATGGGGGGGAGAGGGGACATAGCAGGACACAGATACAGGAACAAGATCATTTTAGGTGCCGCTGAGGGCCGGGATGGAGGTCAGATGGAGTCAATGCTGCGGCTACTCTGGGTGGGGCATCTGGGGAGGTCAGAGGAGAGGAGGACATTGGGAAAGGAGGTGGCAGAGCAACGTGCTCTGTGGTTCTGAGATGGAAAAGAATGTGGTGTTTTGGGGGCAGAGGGGATGCTGGTGTGTCATTCACAGAGAGCCAGAGGACGGCAGCAGGGTGAGATGCACTAAGCTCATGTGTTTAATTCAGTGTAAGTATAATGGGAAACCGTTAGATGATCTTAAGCAAGGGAAGAGCATGATAAAATTAAAGTCTTGGAATAACGGAGCAAGAGCGCAGGGGTCCCAGTGAGAATCATGCCCGCTTATGCTAGGATTTCCACAGTGGAAGCAATGGAAGCAAACTCAGGATCTGATTTGAATGCAGAGCAAATAAGACTTGGTGATGGAACGGGTATGTGTGAAAGCGAGGACCAAGGACGAACGCACACATGTTTTTGGTTTGGTTTGGTTTGGTTTTGCTGCACAGCTGGAAGCATGGTGATGCCATTGACTGAGACGACAGACACTTGGGGGGAAATCAGGTGATTTAAGACGGAAAAGTGAAGACTTTTGCTAATGGATGTCTTCAGACCAATATGCCTCTTAGACAGCTTAGTGCAGCTAGGAAGTTGGCAGTGGCTGTGCGAGCCCGGAGGTCAGGGAAGAGGCCCTCGCTGGAGACACGAATGTGAGAGTGGTTGGGCTGCAGGCGGTGTTTGAGGCCAAGGAACTGGATAAAAGGACCCAGGAGAGGAGATCAAAGGGGAGGAGGCTGGGCGTCTGGGGCCTTCCAAAACTTAGGGCCGGTGAAGAAAAACATCCTAGGACGGCAGTGCTCCGTTGTCAATGAAAGTCGATGCTTCGAAAAAAAGAATAGTTTGGATAATTTTGCTTCAACACCTCATGTATTATTAATGCTAATAGCTAATAGCCATATTGCTCATTGAGATGTGCTGTACACCAGCCGTTGGTTGGTTGGTGTCGGTCTGTTGGCTGGTTGGTTTTCAAGAAATAAGAAGCATATGTAAATATTAGAACATGACTTTCTGTGCTGTTTCTTATGTGTACCTGTGAAAAAGGTCTTTTCCAGGTGTTCCTGATGTTTTTGTGGTTTATTTCTAATCAGGGTTTATTATCCCGAGACTTAACAGTGACTATCTCCCTTACTATTTCAGCCTGGGGCCCCAGGAAGGAGTTCGGCCCGACTGGAATCTGTTATGTTAGTGAAGATGCCTCTTTCAGGAGAGAATTGCAACTGTCTATGCTTAGAGCTTCAGGAAGTGATTTATATAAGTCAGAGGGTCTCTTGAACAAGCTCAGTTTTCTTACCTGGCTGCTGGCACCAGTCACAGGTCCAGAGCTGAGGGACCGCCTTAGCAGCCACTTCACGGCCTTGATGACGCCCATGGCTGCTGTGTAGCTGTGTCCCTCACCCACTTTGAGCAAGATCCCTTGTCATACTTGGCACTGCATGTCAGTGGTGAGCAGTTGTCATTGCCAGAAGTTATTCTGTTCTCTAATTCCCTGTGCATAGCTCCACTGTCTCTTGATTCAGCGTTGATAGAGCTGGTGAATAATACATTATTTTACTTTATGTAATAAAACTGGGAGTTCAGTTAATTTTTTTAAATGCCTTGCTTTTCCTTAGGCTAACTATTTCCTAAGCTAACCCTGGAGATAAAGGATCAGAGAAAGTTTCTTTGGAGCCACTTTGTTCCAACTTTTAAATTCCACTATAAATGTATAAAAGTGGGCCTTGTGTTTCTTGTTAAGCCTGTTATTGAACATTTGGCAGTGGGCCCCCCACTGATGAACCCTGAGCAGCCTCGCCTTCTCATTCCATTTTCAGGAACTCAGCACTCATATGCTGATTTCTTCTTTATGATCAATGATTCATGATTTCACATACTTAACCGGTGGTACCATTCTTTTTTTTCAATTACAGTTGACGTTCAATATTATTTTGTATTAGTTTCAGGTGTACAGGATAGTGGTCAAACATTTATATAATTTACAAAGTGATGCCCCAGTTAGTCTAGTACCCACCTGATACCATACATAGTTATTACCATATTATTGACTATATTCTCTATGTTGTTCACAGTAGCCAAGATACGGAAACAACCTAAGTGTCCATCAATAAACAAATGGATAAAGAAGAAGTGGTACATATATACAATAGAATATTACTCGACCGTAAAAAAAAATTCATACCATTTGCAACAACATAGACCTAGAGGGTATTATGCTAAGTGAAATAAGTCAGACAGGGAGAAACAAATACCATACGATCTCACTTCTGTGTGGAATCTAAAGAACAAAATAAACAAACCAGAAACAGACCCATCCATACAGAGAACAAACTGATGGTTGCCAGATGGGAGGGGATTTGGAGTGCTAAGTGAAAAAGGTGAAAGGATTAAGAAGTGCGGGGAGACCAGCTTCCGCAGGTCCAGGGGTTCCCTCAGGTGGAGGCGGAGTCGGCGAGGAAAAAGGAAAAAACGCGAAGACACAGGAGCGCTTTTTCAAGAAGTGTCTCACTTTATTTTACAGCAGGCCCCTTTTTATACCGGGCAGTTTAACCATTGTTCCATTAGTATCAGGGTTTTACTTCCTCGTAATTCTTATGCTCCAGGGTACAGCTATATCTTTTCTATGCTAAAGACTAACTTATCCCAACTACGCCCAAATCCCTCCACCTACAATGACTGCGACCAAGGCCTGAGCCTCTACATAATCGCCCAAAGGATGGTTACCATGACCACCCAACATTTATTCTAAAAACTATTGTCTAAGCAGGATCTTAAGATTTACAGGGTGTGTACTTTGACGTTTACTAAGAAACTAGTAGTGTGACTAAAATTGCCTTTAGTGTATAAAATAGAATTATTGTGATATATCTATTAGAAGGTGTATTTAAATTTTTTAAGATATAAAGCAGTATCTGTTTCTCAGTCAGAGCTTCAGAATTTGTCACAATTGCAGTGCGCTTGGCCATGTCAGATACTGAGGCGCAGACAGCTCCTGGCAAAGAAGCACAAATCGGTAGAAAGTAGTCATGGGGTTGTTGGTACTGTTTTCTAACAGCCCAGTTCGGCGATAGGGATCAGCTATAGATTTTGTGGTTATGTCTGTGTTTTAAAGTACTTTTTAAATATTGGTCTAATACCAAACTCCATTTTTGCATGATTGTAAGCTTTCTACAGTAACTTTAATAAAGGTTCTCCACAGGCCAGTGTTTGAAATCACTGGATGTCAATTTTAAAATTCCAGACAACCATTCTGATAACTCCAACATCCAGAGTTTATGGATGACATCAACATTCTAAATATAAACTGAGTTTTAATCTCGTTTCACATTTGTAATTAAGCTCTTTTTCTCCACATGGGTAATTATCTGTTACCTAAATGATACTTTCCAGGATAAAAGAAGAAATATGTGATACATAGTTATCATTGCAACAGTATTCTTAAAGTATGTTTTTGGCAATGAATAACCTTTTTTTTTTCTTTATTTTAATAGGATGTACCAATGGGTCAGCATAATTTTCAAAATCGCACCTTAAGGTATAGTATATGTTCCACTTCCTAATTTTTAAAGGCTTGCTTTTTATTTATTTCTGAAAGTAATTATCACCAATTATAGCAATTTTTAAGGCTAAAAGGAGCCTTCTAAAAGAGCAGCTCCTTGTGAAAAGCCCTATTAAATTGCTCTCAGCTTCTAAAAATAGGATTATTAGTGTCGTGTTATTAGAATTAACAGAGGAAAAAGGGAAACACCACCTAGTAATCACTTTAGAACTTGAAATTATTTTCTTAAAATGACTATTCTTAATATTAGTTAGAATTATATTTTTTTTAAATGTAGTAAAAAATATATTTCCTTAAAGTGAGTATGTTGAATTCTTTTGTCTTGAATCTTGGCGATAAAAGCAAGACAAGTCCAGCCTCTCTATAGTGAGAAGAAGGGCTGCCCGACTCTCTCAAAAAAAGAAAAAGAAAGCTTCCCACAAATGCCCCCAGGTCGCCTTTCACCATCCATGGTAGAACCATGGGTACTAATTCCATTCCTTTCTATGTTCCTCTAGCTTTGGGGGTCATAGCCATACATTAGTATTGGTTTGGGAATTGAATGGTTTTGTTGTTTTTTATTGAAGTCATTAGGATAATTAATGAAAGGCCCAAAACTCAAGTCAGCCTTTCTTTCTCCACAGAGAGGTGGATTTATTCTTGTAGAAAATGCATTGTATCCAAGTAAAAAATAAACACCATTAGCGAGATCATTACCTACAAAACATGGCAGAGAATGCACATTATTCCAGCCTCCCTCTAGAGGACTTTATTTGTTGTAATGAGCTCTAATTTGTATTTTGTGTAAAATTTGAAATTTTAACGTTGAAATGTAATACTCATAGTCCTACGTTGCAAGGATAATTGGGTTCTCAGGCTTTTGAGGCATTGTGTTTTACGAGACACATGCCAAGTTAGAGAGAACTCCTGCTAATTTTAGAATTAATATTATGGACCCCATAACATACCTTGAGAAGGTGTGACTCTTCTGGCCAATAAGATGCTGGCACATCTGCAGGCAGCTGGGTTTCATGTTCACGAGACAGAAAGTTCATGGACGTCCTTCGACTTTATTCTTGATCCCTCGTCTCTGATGGATCCGCCCCTGCCTGAAATTCTGCTTCCAGAGTCTGTGCTTCCAGAGTCTGTGCTCTGAAATTACTGTGGGAAACGCCTTATGGACACCCACACTCTGTGGGAAGTGTCTCCTGGGACCAGTGCCGCCTGGAAGAGAGTGGGCATACGCAGTTATTTGTGTCTGAACTAGGCACGTGGAAATCTAACTTCACCCTGACAGCGTTCCTCCCAGGCGGACACTGTGGCCATTGTCCTTTCTGAAGGGAAGAAACAGAAGTTCAAGGGCTTAGGAGGCTGCTGCTGGTGGAGGCGAGGCCAGGCTTTGCGCCTGGCTCTGTGATGCTGCAGCCTGGGTTCCCAACTGCGCTCCTGTCCTGCCTGCCTTGCTAAGAGCCTCCTCCGTACCTGTGTCACTTCCCCCTGGGGTGGCCCCAGGCCTCATGGAGAGAGCTGAGCTTTCAAATCAGCCTCACCTGGGCTTCTCTCACAAGTCCTGGCTTTGTCACATGGCCTACCTGTTTCATCGAACCTCTCTGAGCCTCCTGCCTGGCCAAGAGGCTCATGCCATGGGTCACATGCCATGGAAGCATCACCTGAGATGGCACACAACCTCTTCCATGCCTCTTATGATATAAGAGCCCAGACATGGGGGGGAGGCAGGTTATGGAAGGAGCTCAGCAGAAAGCACGCAAGGAATTGGAGAGAAAGAGGGGTTGGGGGCAGCCAGCCATGGGGAGGCCGGCGGTGGAGCCCAGAGGCAGGAACAGGGATGGGCAAGTCAGAAATGCTGAAAGTCCGAGGAACAAAACTCTGGTTGGCAAATTAAGAACTCCCTGTGGAACTCATTATTTTGGCATAATTTATTTACAAAGCATTTACGGCTGAAGATTCTTTGCTTCCAAGACCAAGTGAGTGAGTGGTCTGCAAATCTAAGGGGTTTTCTGTGACTAGTGCTTTCAAACACTGAGGAACATTTACATACATACAATCAAGCTTTGATATGCCTAAAAATAATACTGCAGTTCTGCACATTCTTGAACCCAGACCAATGAAAACATATGAACACGGACTGTTTTGTCAACTAAACCAAATTTTTGTGGAGGAATTTCCAAAGACAGTGTGTTCTGTCATAAAATCAAGTTTATAAAGGCAACAAGTCAAGGGCTAATGCCTCTCTTAGGACAGAAAGTTCTTTTATCTCAAACACCAAGTAGCTGTCTTTCAGTGTTGCTTTTGATTGCCTGCTGAAATCTCACACTACGTGAATGGTGAGGCCATGTTTTACTGCACCAAAAACTCTGGACAAGTCTCTCGATGCACAGAGTGGCTACTGTTATACGGGAAAGCTGTTCATAGACTCATTTCCTTTTTTTCTTTGTTTACTCAATTAACAGAATTAACCAGAGGTTTGTGCATCATTGAAAAAACGGGCTTAATATTTAGCTTAGCAATAAGATTCTTACACTGTTGTATTTCCTTTTTTCATATAGAACCAAGTCACAAAAGAAAAGATTTGAAGAAGAATTGAATGAAAGGATGATTCAAGCAATTGATGGAATTAATGCACAAAAGTGAGTATTTTAATCTTAAATTATCATTCATCTCCTATTTCAAATACTATTATTTCAAAAGATGATTTTCTGCCTCATAAATTCTCCCCTAGTAAATTACTAATAGATAACATGAAATGTAAACATGGAGAGAAAAATTTGGGCAAAATGTGTTCGGTAAGTAATATTAAAGATCAATGGGAATTCCATATGGGAAAACCTTTAAACTTAGTTATATAACCCTATCCATTCAAAATGTATTTATCCCGCTGCAAAATCAGAGAACCGGGAGATACCTATATTCTGAATTGTGGAAGAAGGGTTTTGGGCGTTAGAGTCTGAATTCATGGGGGCAATAGGAAGAAGATCAGGGGTTTTTTTGGGAGGTGGGCATAGGGGTGGCAAATGTTATCCAGCCTATGAATTCTATGAATGTCCATTCAATCTGTGACTTGCTGCTGTAGTTTTAAATGGTCTAAGCGATGCAGAGAAAAATCAAATTAGAGAAGGTGGTGGCCTTCGTGGTCTGGACAGAGGATTCCATTCATCAGCCATGGAAACCACCTTCGGTGCATGTACGTGTGTGTGTGTAATTGCACATATACACAGTAAAGTTTCTTGGTCGGGCTACAGTTGCAATTCAGATATGCTGGAACGTTGAATTAACACCTGCGTAGAGCCCTCCAAAACCTGGGCTGAAAATATGGGGGCCCTGCTAATTAGTGAGGAGCTCATTTTGTTTCCACTTTATAAATTTCACTTTTACTTTATTTCCAAGTTTATATATATTATCTAGGAGCATTTTAAAATTAGATCATTCTTTCTCAAAACAGAAAAAAAAGTAATTTTAATAAGCTACCTGCATACATTATATTCAGTTTGCTTTTGCTACAAGTACAGAGCCCTAAAAATGAGTATAGTTAAAATATATCTTAAATTTTCTTTTCTATCCCTTTTAGATGAACGAATCTCTGATTCCTCCAACTAGTCTCATAAAACAGAACAATAACATATTTCGGCAACTAGTGCAGTAATAAGAAATACTAAAAATGTTTCTTTCCCTGAGCCTGAAGATTAGACCCTTGAATCTAAGAATATTGTTACATGAATAGTTCTCATTTTTTATGGTAATCTTTGTAGAGTGCATGTCTGGCCTCCGAGCCTCAGCTGAGAGTGCACTGTCTGTAGCTGAGTCTTGTGGGACAGTCAAGCTCTCGGTGTGTGGCCATGAGAGCCGTAGAGACCCCAGGGACCCTGGGCACAGGGCTGTCCAGGTAGACCTGGAGATGTCCCTCCTCAGATGTGCTGGTCTCCTGCTTAACTCGTCATTAGCCCTAATGTGAAACATCGGTGTAATTCAGCGACACTAGTCTGAAATCAGTAGGTGACTGTCCCTGCCAATTACTGGGTGACGTGTCACCGTTTACTGGGCCTTCCTTCCTGGAGCCTCAGAGGCCTTCACCATTTATAAACTCCCAAGCGCATCTCAGGGAGTCCAAGTCCAAAGACAGTTGACCAATGGATTGGAAAGTACGATATTCACAATTTCATGGGAATGATAATTGTTTAAACAGATATCATATTTTTGGGAAATTTATGTAAAACAATTTTATCTCTAATCTTCTAATATGCTGGGGGTGCTAAAAAATGCATACACATGACTTGTATTCATCTTTTGTTATCGGTATATATTGAGTATTACAATTTCAATACGGTTTTTTCCTTTCTTAAAATGTGTATACTTTTTTTGGCACCTTCTGTGTATATATATACTCTCTCACTCCCTACGTGTGGATTTATAGCTATAGATGTAGACATATGGTCATATACACTTACAGATATATACATATATACATGCATATGCATATATAATTCAGGTTATTATATTTTTATTTATGAAAATACCTGTTTAAGAAAAAATTAGGAAAGTAGAAATATAAATTCCTCAGCATAATGATTCAAACCAGTCGGTAGTATATTTTATTGGTACCTATTTCTAGATATGTTTCTTGACTTGTAGATTTCAGTTTTTCTCTTTATTTCATAAAACACCTGTATATTTTATTGCCATTGTGTGACTGTATCAGGCGTCTGGCTTGCTTGGTCCTATGCTTGGTGTCGCTGTTTAGCTTGTGATTATATGCAACGTTCTAGTGAGAAGTTTTGTCCTTAAGCATTGCCTCTGTTTCAACTACTTTCCTGAAACAGGTTTCTAAGAGTCAGTCAGTGTGGAAGAGTGCGTCCTTCCATATAATTTTTATTTATTTTTCAACACCTGAGAGGTGTATGTGTATTTATGCACGTGTGTGCTCATGTTTGCACCAACATACTGTGTTAGTGGTGTGAACCCATTGCTTATTACATTAGTATTTTCACCCATTTTTTTTCTGTGTTCAAATATTATTTTTACTTCATAGAAAGGCAAAAATGGGACAATAAAAGTATTCTCAGTAAGAGTAAAAGAAACAGGCTTCTCGCCCAGAACTTGAAGGCACTCTAATTCGGCTGGATGCTCTGTCATGTGCCGCTTCCTACAAGCTGGGAAAAATGATGCTTCTCTCTGCACCAAATCCTCCAGGATATGACGCTACCAAGTGATTTCAATAAAACATCAGGGAGCACACTTGCTGATGTATTGGAACCCCTAGTTATTTAATTTGGAGAACTTGAGTTTCAGTTGGTGTGTAATATCGAATTTTCCAAGGAGGGCAGTGTGTGAATAGGAATATTATATTTGCAGTCCTGTTCACAGTCTCTGGATCCCACAGTCAGTTATTTGGCATTATACAGTCTTTTTAAATATTCAATTTTGGATGGTTTACAATACAGAAAGAAGAACGCAAGTCATTTAAAAAAGTACTTCCAGCTGTTTGGTTGGAGGTTTGGTTTTATGATGTCTGTTCTTTCCGTTTCCAGGCAATGGCTCAAGTCTGAAGACATTCAGAGAATCTCACTGCTTTTCTACAATAAAATACTGGAAAAAGAGGTAAGCTATTTTTTTTGGTCAAAATCCATCTTTTTTTCCCCTCAAATATTAGTTTTTAAAAATTCTTTCATGAAATTACACTCCTATTTTTTACCTGTGACATTTAAGCTGCATCTGACTGTATCAGAACTATTTCTATCTGTCCCTGTGGTCCTCCCATGCATGTATCGTTTTACCGTAGTCCTTCTTAGCAGGCTTCTATCTTTGGCTTGTCACCATTCTCTACACTCCTGGTAGCAAACGATGCCTAGGGTGTGCCTGAGATGGGCGGTAAAGGAAAGGCACATGATCTGAACAAATCCTTCCTGATTAATTTACAGTGACTTCACACAAGTTATTTTAACTTCTTTAACAAAAATATGAAATTTATATTGAACACGTTTGGGGGAATTAGGAACCCCACACTTTTAAGTTTTGTTACATCTGAATATTTTGATGTTATGGCCCTTAAAGTAAGAGCTATTTGAGCACATTTAATTTTTGCATTAAAGCTTACCAGGGATTTGATAAAATGAACTAAGTGATTATTACAGAAAGGCCGACTGTTCTAGGTCAGCTTTGTTTTGTGTTGATCTAGAAAAGGAACAAGTTAGAGGTAATTTCCATTATCCAACCATATAACTGCAGTCTTAGTTTGAACAAAAGCTACTACATTAATGGCAGCAGCCACCGGTATTAAAGTTCTGTGGAGAAAATTCAGTTCGTTGTTTTATGGAAATTAAATGGAAAAAACAAATATTAAAACTACTTCCAGAATTCATTAGGGTTGGATTTTGCAGTTCCACCAAAACATTCCTTTTTATTAGTGGTCAAGATCAACTGCTTCTAAGTCAATATATTGAGTACAGAGGGTTTACCAAATTGATATTTCATATAGTTTATTAATATTTTTTCACCATTTTATCCTTGAATAATTTTAATAGACACTAATGGTTACTCATTGTGTAAATGGTATAGTATTCCCTTCCTGACAGGAGTCCATCTCCTTTATTGGTACTACAAAGAAATGCTAACTCATATCTCTACAAAAGCCCAGAAGGTGAAAGATAGGGGTGTAACTGAATGCACAGAATGTAATCATATTTCTGCAATTATGCTAATAGAGCGTCTTCATCAGCATGTAAAGTGTCCTGGCTGTTAAGTCACAAAATTCACCCCCAAAATATTCTAGCAACTGGAAGACGATCATCGTTTGAAAATGCAGCTTTTGCTGACATTCCCCATCCTATTTGCGGAGGCCAACTTTGAGGCCAGTTTTAGGGAGCATTGGAATTGAAGCTCATCTGTAGTCTACCCCAGCCTGCCCTTCAGGCCTGCAGGAGGGGTAAAAGGCAGCAAGGCACAGAGAGAGAGAAGCAGCAATTCACACCCAGAGATCCAGCGTCTCGAATGGAAAACGCAGTGGCTAAAACCCAAGAAATACTGTAACATCCCGTAACTTGGGGAACAACCTGTGGAGATACAGCTGACACAGCCAGCCAGCATTGTCAGGAGGTCTCAACAGCATTGCCATACAGTCTTTCTTTCCTTCAATTGTATTATACTTGTAAAACCCTCTTTTGAGAGGCAGCCTGAGCTGCAGCACTGGGTGTCAGTGAGCCTGCATACCTCAGGCAGGGCCAGTTCCAGGGGGGCAGCTGCAGGACGGGTCAGTTTACCATCCTGGATGGAATGCAGAGCTGTGTGGCCGCTGCCGATGGCACCAGTCAAATGGACCGAGACTCCATCAGCCAGGCTCTGACATGTTCACAGAATGATTGCAGACTTAGAGCCAAGTCCACTGGTCTTCTCTGTCCTGTAAATTTCCTTGCTAGCATTAAGACAAATAATACAATAGAATAATAAAATAAGGAAATAAAATGAGGAACTGTGTTTCCTCAGTAATATTGAAAAATAAAATATTATGTGAAAAGTCAATTGCTTTCCCCAAATAACAGCATGAGACCCACCAGGGAACCAGGGAACCCGCCCTGGGCCCCTCAATTCACTCACTTGGCTTCCTGGTCAGCTGCTCTCTCCTTGATTCAATGACCTTTCGTGGGCTTCTGAACAGTTGGAATCATAAAATTTGTGGTCTTTGGAAGTCAGAGCTTATTGGCAGAGAGCAAGCCCTCATTGGCGGAGACGAACAGCCATCCTCTTGAGCTCCTTTGTGCCACAGTCTACAGTTGACAAGCGTGATGCATGAACTGGGTACAGTTAGGCTGCTATGATTGTGTCAGCCCTTCTCGTATAGAAGTGTCATTCTTGGCTCCTTCTTGTCCCCTTAGTACCGAGCCACGGCACTGCCAGCGTTCAAGTACTACGTGACCTGTGCTTGTCTCATATTCTTCTGCATCTTTATCGTGCAGATTCTCGTGTTACCAAAGTAAGTACATACATGTGGCTGGCCACCGGGCCTCTCAGCCGGTGCACCTTCCCACCAAAGGGTGTGAGATGTTAATTTCCAAATACAGTGGTTATGTCACATGTTGCATGCTACAGCGGTGGTGGACAGGGTGAACCTCTGGAACTGTGAAGTTAAGTGGCCCCTGTGTGTCATGTTGTTATAGAAATACAGTAAAACCTAGGATTGCAAGTAACGTGGTTTGCGAGTGTTCTGCAAGACGAGCGAACATTTTGAATACATTTTAACATGGTAAACGAATGATGTCCTGCATTACGAGTAGTTTGTTTCCAGAACGAATTATGCTTGCAAACCAAGGTATTACTGTATTGGATTTTCCAAGTGAACATAAAAACCTTACAGGGTTTTAAAAAAATAGATTTAACCTACCGACTTTAGTTTTGATATTACTCTGATGCCCAGTCTAAGAAACGTAGCCAATAAACTTTGCCCAGAAAGGGCCAAATCGCCAGATGTTGCTTCTAATAAGCAAATAACATTATTGTATAGTGAAAGGACAAAGCCTTCTCCAGGTACACGGTGCCCACCCATCCCTTCTAATTGCGCATTCTTCTCCAGGAAGTCCGGTCCCTGCCACCGTCTCTGGTTATTACAGGTTGCTGTCCAGCTCATCTCTCCCAGGAGAGATCTGGTCCAGGGGGGAGAAACTGAGTGAGCTGGAGTTCACACGTTCAGACTTCAGGGCCGACTTTCCCAAGCTCTACCAATTGGTGAAAATCCAGCCACTCTGAAATTTCTAGAGTATCTTTCTCTCTCACCTTCTCAGTGAGTGCGATATAAATCAACTACTTTCTTTAGAAAAACAGATCCTTTCTCATTCTATAGCCTAAAAGAAAGGAAAAAGAGAACTCTTATCTTTTCAATAATTCAGGATACAGAAATAAATTTAAGATAAATTTTCTTTCCCCTTCTCATTATGTATTTTGTCAAGGCCAAAGCAACCATTTTCAATCTAGTAGAATTTGGTTGTGTGTTTGCATCTATCTTCAGGGGCACAGCATTTGGGGGCAACTTGGATGCCCAAGGCTGGGTTACATTTTGTCCCATGAGCTGCTAAGCAAACTAGAGAGAAGTGGTTTGTCTTTCCTCCTGTTCTTTAAAAGATGTTCTGGGCACTGAGCCAATTCAAAGGCATTTATACAAGAACACATTAAAGCATTATTCATATATGTATAATTCCAAAGCTATCTGCCCCCTTCTAAAAGAAGCGCCTACTGACTTTCCCCTTCCCCCGTAAATTAGCATTAAAATGTGTGGGCTGATTGAGCTCTTCTTCTAGACTTACAAAATCTTCAGTGAAATTTGCCAATGTCAACTTATCAGTTTTTCATTCAAAAAAAAAAATGGTAGCAAATTAAGCTCCTTCTAAGTGCCAGGCGTGAGCCACATGATGCAGGAGACAGGGCTTATATACTGGGCATTCCAGAGTTATACAGGTGCTACAGAAAGAAATGGGCCCTTAGTATTACTCTTACGTAGATAAGTGCATTCATTTTTCTATATCTATTGGGTATTTTTATACTTTTTACATCATGATTAAGACAGTTTATCACCCACTGGAAGGAGTTGGGAGAGAAGAAAGTGACTCAGGCATTTTAAAACATGATGTCAAAGAAAACTGACTTCCGGGAACCAAGTAGGACATTTCACGGGATTATGTTTAAAACAACAACAAAAATCAAGATGTCTGCTCTGTCTTTGGCTTGATTTTCTTGTCTCTTCTGTTGCATTGTTTACTTATGAGGACCCAAGTCCATTCCCTGAGGCATCCTTACCAAGGACCGTCGCGTTTCTCTTGAGCAGCCAGTTGGGTTTTGAGCATGAACATTGTGAAATCTGCTTGTTGCATTTTTGTCTTTGTGTTGGCAGTTAGAGAGTTTAGAGCAGCAGTTCTCAACCTTCCTAACTCCGTGACCCCTTAATACACTTCCTCATGTTGTGGTGACCCCCAACCATAAAATTATTTTCGTTGCTACTCTATAACTGTCCTTTTGCTACTGTTATGAATCGTAATGTAAATATCTTTTTGTTTTCCAATGGTCTTAGGCGACCCCTATGAAAGGATCGTTCAACCCCCAAAGGGGTTGCGACCCACAGGTTGAGAACCGCTGCTTTAGAGTAAGGCCTGTGGACTCCTCTTGTAAAGAGAGTTCGCACTTGCACTTTATTTATTTTTATTTTTTTGAAAGAACTCGCTGAATGGTGTATTACAGGGAAAGGATACATTAAAATTAGCCAAAGGAAGAGACGCAAAGGGCAGAGTCTGGGGGGTCCCAGTGCAGAGCTTCTGGCTGTCCCCTCCAGGTGGAGCCATGGAGGGTGTTACCCTCTCCTATTGGCCTCCAGCCTCCCCCTGGTGTCTCTAGTTCCTTCAGGGTTTGAGACTGGCATTTCCTGTACCAGCTTCATATTATATTCCATATTATATTATGTTATGTTATGTTATGTTGTTATGTTATGTTATATTAATCTTCCTTCATTTGTCTTTCATGTTAATGTCCTTATTTTTCTTTCTTTTTCTTTTTAAAAAATTCTTGCTGTGAAATATTTCAAACATACGGAAAATTACACAGCATAATATAATAAGCATGTATGCACACACAACCCAAACTTCACAAGTGTTAATCCTGTGTCATGTTTACTGTAGATAAGTTTCCAGCTCTTGAGACCATATTGTTTGGGTATGCTTCCTATGAACAGCATCTATTTTTGTTTTTATTTATTCAGTCTGATACCTTTTTCTACACTAATGCTTTATTTTGTTTGTATTTTGATTTTTTATTGACATATACGGACCTAGTTTCTATATTTCATTTACCTCGCTTTTCTTTTGTTCTTCCTTCCTTCCTACCTTCTAAACAATTGATGAAACAATTGTTTTTCTTTACTAGTTAAGAAGAAATATATATATATATGTGATAATCTTTAAAATACAAATATATAGTATATAATATATATTCTACATATTTTCCTTTTAAGGGTTACCATTAACATTTTAAGATATTCTTGATTTAATAAATTCTAAACTTAATCATTATGTCTCTGATATCATTATTTCTTAGCATTTTAGTTCCATATCGTAATTGTAGTCAATATTTACCCACATTCTTTACCAATTGTTTTTGCTCATCAGTGCTTTTATAAAAATTCTTTCCTCAACTTTATTTTCCTTCTTGTTAATGTGTATAATTTATTAGTTCTTTTATTGAGTGTCTGTGAGTAACAACGACTTCCCCTTTCTGTTTGTATTCAAGTATCTTTATCTGCTTTATTTCACATTTGCTCTTGAATAATAGTTTAACTGGATATAAAATTTTATGTTAGCTCTTATTTTCCCTTAATATTATAATGATATTATTACATTGCATTTCAGCTTCTGTTGTTGTTAATGAAATGCCTTCTGTCAATTCCTTTACATTCTTTTGAAGGTAATCTGTTCTTCCTCTCTGGATGCTTCTTTTTTTCTTTTTTTGCTAGGTTTTCATTACGATATTGTATCTAGATGCATATTTGTTCTTATTTACCCAAGTGACTAGGTGTGATTTTTTTCAGAGTGTTCATCATTTTTCAGTTCTTAGCAAGTCTCTGCCTTCATTGCCTTACATATTGCTGTCTTAACTGTATTCTTTCCTCCTGGGACTCATATTAGTTGTACATAGTGCTGTTCATTCTATGCTCCAGGTCTTGTAATTTTTCTTCAAAGTTTCCACTTCTTCATTTATTTGTGAATTCTCCATTTACACTAAGTTTATAGTTTCAGTGACTACTTTTTCATTTCTAAGAATTCTATTTGGTTCTTTTTAAAATCTGATTTTTAAAAACATAAATCTAAAGTTTGTCTATGGGCTTCTTTTTCTTTTTCTTTCCTATTATTAGCAGAATTTAGACATAGTCTATGAAAATAGAACTTGTTTCATTCCGTTATTTATACTTTATAAATATATGAGTTCTGCCCTTTAGTTGATCTGTTGACACCCTTGTGGTGGTGTGTCTCTTTGTATTATGTGTAATTTTATCTGTGCATTCATCCACAACAAGGGTTTTGGTCCATGGTAATCTCATGTGTTGTGAGTTGTGAAGGCATCACTCTGGTATAGTTTTCAGTGTCTCTGCCAGTACTTCTGGAATTCACCAGTTTTGTTAAATCCTTAGGTCAAGGTTTCTGCACTAAATGTGTCGTGTGAATTTGATTAATCCCTTAGCATGGAGCAGGATGGGTATCTCAGTTTTCAAAGATCACTCTTTTCCTACTCATGACCCTAGACAGAGAGCCAACTTCCCTGAGAACTACCAGGCTAGTGGACAGAGTTCTTATATTTCCTATTTTCTGATGGGACAGCACATTATGATTCTTGATTTTATTGAACAGCTCAATTCCAATTTTCTATTAATAAAATGAGTATCACTTTCTTTGTGTAGACATTCAGTCTCACACTTGATGGTGTATATCAGCCTCTGGTTCCTCCTCAGCCGTTTAGCATCAACTCTTCTCGGCATTGTGTGTTTGAATCTCCTCTGTGTATCTAGTGTTTTCTCTACCTAGCTTATGAACTTGTCTATTTAAGAATAATAATTTTGTTACATTTTATGAAACATTTTTATTGGCATAATGGTGCTTCTCACTTCTACTGACATACCCTCATTTTAAAAAAAATTGTAGAATGATAGTTTTGTTTGTTTTCTTTTTGTTAGTTTTGTTTGTTTTCTTTTTGCTAAATTGCCCCATTGTTTTTGAAAAAAAAGAGAAATTATTAAATGAGTGAGTAAATGAATAAGTAAGTGAATAACTAATAATAACTAATATCTGATCTTGAAAGAACCAGTAAAGGAAAGTGTTTTCCTGGAAAAAGATCTTACATTATTCTTATTTGACCCATAGTTTTTTAATCTGGCTCTAGTCTGAGAATTTTAGTAGAAATAATTAAGTTATTGGCTCCCCTTTTTGGAGTTGTTCTCTCACTTCTGTCTGCCTTGTACTATAACTTTATCAGAAAGGTGAGCTACATTCAAAGGCCAAAAATGATCAAACATAAATTATGTTTACATTTTTTAATAGCTTCATTCATATTGTCTGCCAGACTAAATAGATTATATTAAACCAGGCATGGACAATTATTAAAATAAGGGTGATTTTTTTTTCTAATAAAGTTTAGTTAAATATCATGTGTTTCATTAGCCCAAGTTAGATTAAGAATGATGATATTTTACTTAAGGAAAACGAATGGCCAAGTTATAACCTTAAATATCTTATAACTTTATTTCTGCTTAGATTCTTTAATACTCATTCCATTACTCATTTTAATACTTGATACTCATTAATTTTTCAATATACTTATTTCAAAAGAGTCAGTTTTGTTTTTATCTCCAAAAAGGAAAAAAAAATAGGAGAAAGTTTAATGGTAGAATCATTCATGTTCATTGAACGTAGACTTGGCTTTCTGAACACAAATGATGGAGAATAACTATTGGGGAGGCAGTTTCCTTTGGTGGGCAACCAAATTGTTGGGCCCAAACACTGGATACAGTGAAAGTACTACCTGTGTACCTTGATGCAGTAGATTAGAATGTTAGGGCAAAGGAGAGAGACAGAGAGGAGAGAGGAAGGAAGGAAAGAAGGGAGGGAGGGAGGGAGGGAGGGAGGAAGGGAGGAAAAAAAGAAAGAAGAGAATTCTCACTGTCCAAGATAAATGAACCAGTTCATGTTTTACAG